CGCTCAAACTCTGCTACACTTGGGCATATATATATTTTTTTTTTGTTTATTAATTTATTTGATAAGGCTCAACCGAATTAACTTTACAGAGCCGAGGATTATTGGTCACTATACAATACATCTTAAAAATATAGTCAAAAGGTACAACACAATAAACACTTTATCTTCCGCTATCCAAAAAGCCTCCTCCATCAGAACTGGAGCCGCTTCCAGTAGTTTCATTGTATGGCAAATTGTTGTACGCCAACGAGGGTCAGAGCGCGTCCATTGCAGCAATGGACGCAAAACGTGGTCAGCACTCACACACTCATCACGAAACGGTTGCTTTCCAAAGTCGACGACGCATCGACCGAAAGAACTGCTGATGAAGAACAATGAGGAGGACCACACAATAGTTGCTGCCGAGAAAACAGACGATCGCGTAGCACACATCGAGAGTGGTCTGCTTTTGTCGACAGCCGAGTGAACACTCTGGGCAAATATATAATACATATTATATTATAATTATTATATTATATTATTATATTATATAATAATATTATATTATATTATATTATATTATATTATATTATACTATATTATATTATATTATGTTATATTATAATATTAACAATATGGTCCACTACCCAGACAACCAGAAGTCGTATAATAATGTACAGACAGTATCGTAAATTGCTACAGTTTTAGTCAAAATCGCATATAAGAATGGCATACCTCGCATTATGTTCAAGTTAAATCGTATAGAATGCAAATTTCCGACCAATATGCGATGACTCATTTTTCCATCGTACTGTATCACAAATTAAATCGGATTACATCGTAAGACTTTTTAAAATGAATTTGTTATTACAGATTAAATCGTATATGATGTTAAATCAACTCGTTTAAAATTAAATTAAAATATGCACGTATATGGCCTCCACTTTTGTACGTATAAGCCATTTCTTTGCATTATATACGAATTGTTTGTTTGTATATATGTTTGTATATCACGAAAACAACTTTGAATATACGTGCATTCTGGTTGTCTGGGTATTTTGCTTAGTTGGCGAACTGAATTTTAAGCTATGAAGAAAGTGGCCAAAAAGGCTACAAATGTATTTGTATATCTTCACGAGGGGTAAACCAATTGAAAATTTGTATAATATGTAAAATGTATGTATTTCAGCATATTATGTTATTTGATGACACGTCAGAAAAATGTGCATGGAATATACAGAATGTAATTATTGAAAATAATTTGACTTTTATGTTTGTAACACGTGCTGTATGTGCGCCCCTCGATTGTTGGATGACTGTTGCTGATCTTTTTCAACGCTAGATGGTGCGAGAAGCAATATTATTCAGGTGGCCATTGCAATTTTCGGAAAAGGCAAGAATGGATCACATTGTTGACATCATATATTTTCTTTAGGTCTACAGTAGATATCTGCAACATCTCAGCTAAACAATTAACACAGCAAAAATTGTTCGGAAACATCGAGCTCCTATAATTTTCCACGAGCTTATTCAACTTTCATGAGCTACGTCTAGGATATAATTTTTCAATGAAAAAAAATATTGCTGAATATTATTCAGTTTCAATGAAATGGCGTTGAAAACCCGAAAACGCTTCAATACAAAGTGGTAACAAAGCGGCGCCGATGGTGTAGTAGTAAGCGTACTGGCCTCTCACACCAAAGGGCCAGGGTTCAATCCCAGTCAGCTATTGTGAACAAAACTTCGGAAACACTTTTCTTGTGACTCAAGGCTCGCCTACGCAAACTAACACCATCTTTGGGTTTGGGGAATGTTTCCCCTATCCGATGATGCGGGTAATATGCGTTCGATAGGCGAGGAAAGAATAAACAACGCTTTGTTAAAAAAAAGGTTGATAGTACATTTTCAATTGTTGGTCTACAATATATTGAATTGGTTCCGCATTTTTATAGAATTATTTATATAAAAATTAACAGCACTGCTTTTTATTTTCCAGAATCCCCAGAGGGGAGGCTCAGTAATCCACATCGACTGCCCATTCTATGGAGCCAGCGACACCGGCCATAAACCCACGGTCTCCAACACATCATTGTGAAGCATGAGATTAAGCCCAACTACCAGCAAGGTACAAAAACTAGCCAAGAGCAGGGAACAGTGCTGTAAATTTTCAAAATCATTTAAACATTTTTGATGAAAATGAGAAAAGTAGCTATTCGCTATCAAAGGGGACCTCCTCCGAATGGGTGATATCAGTTGCTTATAGCGAATTCGTTTATTATCGGGGTTAACACCAGTTCCAACCCAGTGCGAAACCGAACTTTTTGTCAGTGTAAACCTCAACCTGAGCTAGGTTTTAAAAACAAACGAGCAAACTGACGTTTGTCAGAAAACAAGCAGACCCAATCTTGATACCCGATCCAGGTTGAAACTGAATAATAAACGAATTCGCTATTAGTCATTTGACGAAGGCATGGATCATTCTCATTTGAGAAACGCTATATATCATTCGATTGAGTGTAACCTACACACAAACGGAGCTCTGGTCGACATTCCGGCGAAAAAGCTAAGCCAACCCGACACCAACCTGATTTCTATCAAACCTCAACCCGATGTTGACCCGACATTGACCCGACATAAACCCAAAATTGACCCGACATTAACACGACATTGGGTCGACATAAACCCAAAATTGACCCGACATTAACACGACATTGGGTCGACATCGACCTTAACTTAGCCTTACATTGATCCGACATCGGGTCGACTTGTCTGTTCGGGACCATTTTCCTGAATTTCTTCCATACTCCACTGTCGTATATCAAATGATACTCAATTGACAGTGACAATGCTTCGAATGAGAAAGGTCATGTGAGAATTCGTTTACACAGAATTGATTGAATGGTTGTAGTGGTTCATCTTCAATCGAATGATATGAAAATTTACAGCACTGGCAGGGAATACTCTTTGGAATCGCCTTGAAATGCTTCACAATCTCTTGTAAATTTACTTAGAATCCTACTCAATCCTTCTCCCTCGGAATTCTATTCAGGACTTCATTGTAATTCTACTTAGAACGATCTTGGAATTCTGATTATGTTTCACCTGGAACCTGGAGTTCCTCAGAATTAATTTGAAAGGAATACTAAGATTTCATTTTCCTAAAAACTCATTATTTGATATTATACACGGAATTGCCTTTAGCTCATTCCTAGAGATTATTGGAAATTCTCAACAAATATATTCAAACTTTAAAACTTTTACAAGGCCCTTAATTTATTTGAAATGTGGGTTCTTGGAATTTATTCTTGTCCTTAGTCTTGAATATTGAAGATAAATCTAATCCAGAATTATCATGTAACTAACGAGGAAGATAAAGTTATATGTACCATTAAAAAATATTTTGAAATTCCTCAGAAGGTTTTCTGCCTACTTCAATATTTCAAATAAGTTTAATAAAGGAATTTGAAAATTCTCTGAGAAAAAATAAATTCCCTGAAAGGTTTTTCAGATTTTTCCGGTAATAGACACACTGAATGAGGCCATTTCTTGTGAATGACTTCTTTACTACCGATTGTTTGCTGATGCTTCGTATCATCGTACCCAGGTTTGAATGGTAATAACAACAACTCGATCTTAAGTGGTGTGCTGTGATATGAGGGGCACAGTGGCCTTATGGCGACCGCTTTTGCTTACTAATGAAAGACAGTGGGTTCAATCCATTTCCACCGATTTTTGAGCTGCATACCGATAAATAATTGAGCACTAAAATAATACGGATTTTATGTTTACCGATATTCTATTCAAAGCACTTTTGTGACCAAATACTTAGAAATTATTACCGACTCCTGTAATGTTTACTGAACTTTACACAGCTGAACTGTTCGGTAAAAATCGGGCATTTTAATTAATTAATTTAAAAAAAATTAAGGCTTCAACAAAAAAAGGAAAACTTCACCACAATATACAGTGGGCCAGGAATAAAATCCAGCAGAAAAATAATAATAACACTCTGGAATTGCATCCAATTAAGTTGACGTCTTCAGCCAAGTTTCTTAACTTAGTGCATAAAAATAGTTTAAGTTTTGGCCGCAAAGATGGCAAATCGATACCAACTTTTTTTATTTCGCACGCTAGAGGTTTGCTGTCTTCGGAAAAGTTGGAGACCGTACAATTTTTTGAAAAGTTGCTCAATTACAGTAGGTATCACAATTATGTTTAAAGCTGGGATTGATTTGGTCTATCTAGCTACTAATATACTTGAAAGCGACTCAGTAATTAGCCACAGCACATTCACCTGTCAATTTTCACTCGATTCTGCTGAACTGATTCGAAAAAATAAATCATGAAATGAACGATAAATACCCAATGCATTTATTAATCCCTTACTTGAGGTTAATTCTGTGCAACTTGCAGCACAGAAAAATGTGCCAATATCGCTTATGTGAAATTCAGAAACTGTTGAAATCGTTGAAATAAGATTTTCTCCTGGTGGCTTATTAAAAATCCTGTCTTTTTCCTGGTTTTTATCCTTGTTCAATATTGCATGGAAGTGCCATATAGCAAAAAAAATCTAGCTTGAAGTAAAATTGTATGAAGCTTTTGAAAGATTGTGTAATTTTAATGAATCTTGAAAAAATATCGTAACCATTAGGAAGTTTACAATAATTACGTAATTTTCGACGGTTTTTTATGCCTAAGATAATACTGGTGCTTTTTTGCTTTGTACCATAGGACGACTAACTTACTCCATAAGCAGAAAAGTGTGCCTGAAACATTGAAATTATCTTTGAATTTTTATCGAATTTAAACAACTTGGAATGATTGTTCTTCAAGTATAGCATTATTGGTCAACCCTTGAAGGTTGCCTAGGATTATAGACAGAACTATGTTCAGGTTAACATCGTGGAATATTATTCGACTTTCGTTATGGTGGACCTCTTGCCCCACTTACCCATAAATCAAACTTGTAATGCAGTTTTATGAAAATTCAATTCCCAGATAGAAACGATTCTTGTACTTACGTCTTTCAACTCTTTGATTTTAGTGCCACCCCGTCCGATGACGCATCCTGCAAGGCTCTGGTGAACCAAAATTCTCAATTCGTATTCGTTTTCTCCTGCCTGTAATGAAGAAATGATTTAAATTTAAATAGGTACAATGCATAATTTGTCAGTTCATGAAATCGAAAATCATGTCATGCTCAAAGTGCAATGTTTGGGCGTATGTTTTCAAGCAAAGGAAACCCAACATAATGTTTACGTTGTAATTGTTCAGTGCATATCCCGTGATATCCGCTAAGTTGACGTACCAACCCCCAGGTCTATGCACTTACTGTCCTTCCCGTTGCTCTCGTCAGCTTGTACGATACGGGTGGTCGTATCCGAGTCCTCCCCATGGGAAAGCCCAAGTGTCCGTCCAGGTTATGGTACATTAACTTATAGCTATGTATGGTTAAAGCATAGCTAAGCTAGAAATTTGTTTAAGGGAAGATGCATAAATCTAGATCGAGCTGGAATAAGGGCCAAAGTAGCAATGGGCTTGAACTGAGAAAAATTAATCTGTAATTTTGAACAAGAATAATTAAATTTAAAATAAACTGTAAACTCATTTCAAAAACTGGACTAATTCTAATTATTAAATTATTGGTTAGCATTATTGTGAGATAAATAAAAATATTATTATTTTTATCTACAGCTCGAAAAATATGAAAATGTTGTATGCGCCTTTTTGATTTGTAGTATCTTGCATCGCTCTGAGGTAATTCGCCCGGCTGCGCTCACAAAAGTCATTTCGCCCATATGTTTCGCCTTAATGTTTAAGTTATTTTTCCTGATGGTTTGTTACTATCGACCTTTTGCAGTTTGTTGGATTCCAGATAAATTCATGTATTGTGCTGTTTTCGCTTATTTTTCATTTACTTTGATCAATTTAGCAATGTTTCCTCTTGATTACCAACCGGTAATTGCAAGGAACAGTGAAAAAATTCAAATTATATCTTTCGCGTTGTGTTGAGAAAATATGTCTGTTTCGCCCCATCTATTTATATGAGAGGAAGCGGACGTAAGAGACAACTCAAATTGCAATAAAAAAAAATTGTTTCACCCTTATGATTTTTGCCTTTTTTAAGGATATACGTTATTTTTCAAAAAAATAAATTATTTCGTTTTGTAGCATTTTAATAGTAGTGTAACGTGATGCATTAACCTCAGATTGTTTACACTTGCGACAGTCGCCCTTATTCCAGCTCTATCTAGAAATGACGTAGCATGTTAGAGTGACCAGCCATGAAGGGGGCTCAGTCGGTAAAGGCGCAGCTACAAAGCAAGACCATGCTAGAGGTGGCTGGGGTCGTTTCCCGGTCCGGTCTAGGAATTTTTCGGGTTGGAAAATCTCTCGACTTCCCTGGGACTTGCCACACAATTATAGTAATGCAAAAATGCATTAATTATTAATTAATCTAGTGGATTCTACGAACCCACTGAGCCAACCACCGCCAACGTAATGTTTTCGATACCTGTAATAAGAAAATGCGCTCGTACATATCTGGCGCTACATGTGTAACGATAATAATGATCCATATTGAATTACTGGTGAAGCACTAACAAAGAGATATGCCAATGAAAAGAAAAAAAAAAGACATCCAAGGAGTGCATAGTACACCAGTAGCAAAGTGCTATGTTCCAGGACTCTAGGCGCTAGTGATGTTGCCTTGTCGCACGCTAAAGCGTCTAGTTTTATCGTGAAAAGTCATGAAAAAATCATGGAAATGAAAACAGAACCTCACCGCACACAGCGGGCGCGAAGAAAGCCACCGCAGAAATGAGCGGAATAAAAGCACATGTGTACAGACATATAGTCGCCATCGCCATGCACTTTATGAAAATTTCAACTAGTAATTACGAAACACGCGATATCAATAGACGGCGCGTTTCCATCTATTTGGCCTGGTTGGTAGACCATTTGAAGATTAGGTATCGAACATGAAATGTTTTTTTATATGCTTCAACAACTTGGAACTGAAAAATGCTGTACATTGTGGTTTCAAATGTAAACACCTACCTTATCCAGATGTTTCATGACGTCCTTAACCACCTTGGTAATCGTTTCCATGTCGCCGCCGATGGTGATGACACTGTAAGAATACAACCAACACTCCTGTTAATTATGAAATGACAAGCAACTGTGTTACTCTACGCGACAATAAATTTTATTAGGTTAAACGGATATAATTTCCCCCAGTTTTCAAAAGTGACAAATAATAATACTAGTATGCTTCGAGTTATGGGGTTAGTTTGTTCCAGTTCTGACTAGCACCAGCAACATATTTTCAATGGAGAAATGCAACCGACGATATGACAAAGAAAAACTTGGCTTGGGTTCAAAATCGTCATTAACTAAGAGATGTTCTCAATCGGGGAAAAGTTTTCGGGGGTAATTCTATACCACTCTACGCTACAAATTTGTTCTAGTGGCTCGCTTATAATTTACCAGAATAAAGCAAAAATTTGTGAAGAGTTTTCATCGAACAGCAGTACTTTCAAAACTGAGCGAGCAAGCGAGATATTGAACGAGATACTCATTATTGATTGAAATTCGACTTTTGCTGGTTAAGATAATATCAAAAATTAGTGTATAAATAGAATTGATCAATTAAGGGTTGTATCCGGTTAATTAACTTTATTTGAAAAGTTTTAACCGATAGGTCCGATTAATTCGGTAATTACATATATAATATCGAGTCTAACCCGTAGGGCATACAATTATTTGGCATATTGGTCGTTTGGCATAATACTTGGGAAAATGGTACTTGAAGCTGTTAAGCAGTCAGTGGGCTGACATAAACTTATAGTCATTTTGGAATCCCGTTAATTAACAACATTGCAAACGTGACTGCTTCTTCGATATAAAATCGATCAACTTGTTTTCTGATTACTGACGCTGACTTGTATGGTATTCCAAAATTTACTTACCTAGAAAGGATTTGTTTTATTGAAAATTACATTTTCCATTTGAACAATAAAATAAAAATAAAATTATGCTTTCATTGAAAACTGAGAATAAATAATTATTTAATAAACAAATTTAAAATAATGGAGTACAATAATGACCCGATTTTGCCAGCCCCCCATTTGAAAATCTTTTCTGATGTTCAACGAAAACCTAGCGCTTTTTCAGTGGTCTTATTGCAACAAAGTATTCCTTAAACAACATGTGCGTAGGGACTGACAAAAGCGTGTAATTACTTCACTTCTAGAAATACAGGGCCTTCCCGGTTTTGGTAACACGACGCCATCGGCTATTGTTTTTTACAGTTTCTGGATAAATTTTCATGGTTTACTAGGCATCTCTGCCCCCTAAAGAATGTTATAGTAATTTGAAAAATAAATAAATTTAGCGATGGATTTTATAGAGTAGAGAAGACAAAAATCACGTGTTGCCAAAAACGGAGACGCGCTGCATAAAAAAAACAAGGTAATGTTTTTTTTATAGTTAAGGATTTACTTCCTTCCATGGTAGTTTATGTAAAGCACAATGCTTTTTTATTGTTTTTGATACTATTTTACTAATGATTCATCTGATATGTTTGTCTGGTTCTCGAAATGCCATTGCCGGAAAACCATTTTTAGGAATATCAAGATCAATATTTTGATAAAAAAAGGGAATATTTCATACTAATTTCCCTGTTAAAGTAGTATAATAAAAACATTTCCGCTTTTGAAAGAATGGAACATTTAGTTTATTTAATATGTTAATAAAGAGAAAAATTTGAAGATTTTGAAAAAGAAGGGGAAATGGATCTAATGTCAGCCTAAATGCCCCTAATTTGGGCCCATACATAAATTCAGCAATCGACTAAATTTTCAATAGCGATAAAAAATATCCATTAGTACCGTCGGCATCTAGTTCATCTAAATAAATAGCAGATTTTTAGCGATGAGCCCAATCTTAAATCCATAGGCCAACATTAGAGCCATTTTCCCTATATTTTTATTTCAATATTTAAATACAGTAATAAATAATAAATGATACTCCGGTGAATAGCTCATACTGCGAAATGACATTTCATGAAAAGCAACATTCTAGGAAATGAATGTCCTGGAAACATATTTCGAGAAATGGCATTCCGGGAAACTTGATTTCACCATTTGACTTGCAAAATAAAAAATAAGGTTATATTACTATTTTTGGAGATGCCAGTTAAAAGGTAAAATGTACTATTATTCTTATGCAATACTAAAATAACACTTCTTCACAACATTATGCCAAACGGTTCAATGCCAAGCTTAGTAGACCCATAATATCAACCTACTAGAATATGGGAGTCGATTAAAAATTAAAATAGATTTACAACGCTCTAAGAATAATTACTATGAAGTAGGGGAAGGAGGGACAGTGAACAGCTGGGGACTAGAGAGCTTCCTGTACTTTAGTCTTGGATTTCTTATGGTTCGAAACAAATTAATTGGTCATTAATCATTGCAATGGTAATAGTGAACCTACTACCAATACATTTGTTTCGAACAATTAGAGGTTTGGTTACTGGAGTGCGGGATGCTCATTACGTCCTTCTTACCCCTACTACTACAGAACCTTATAAGGTACCTGTATAAATAAAAAAAAATAAAGAATTCAAAACTTGCATATAGAGTACAAAAAACATCTTCACAAAAACTTCTAAAATTGAGCATAGTCATTAGATTGATGCAAAATTTGAAGTTTTCGCTCCAGTAGCCTCTCAAAATGTGAACTCATTTTGCTATAAACTGACTGTACACAAACCATTTGAAGGAAGTTTGTAAATGGGAAACCAAAACTTTTCGTTCACTGCCTTCTATCCTTTTTTCTATATTGCTCTGGAAGAAAGTTCGATAGATATTCTTGCAGAAAATTTGCTCAAGATCTTAGTCAAACGACAAATGAAATATTTATTAATTATTTAAGAGATTGACATGATCAAGCAGCTGGTTTGTATTGCGCAGTAAAGACATAGAGCCATGATTGTTGGGTTCTATTCCACACGCCAAAAACCCCGATGTTGCCTGCTGAGCAGTTAATTGAACATGATCGTAAAACACCACCGCCTTGAATCATTAATAACTTTTGTTCCATGTGGGGCAAGAGCAGTGCTACCTTAACAATTGTACGTTCTATATATGCCAAATAGTGGATATTTATATGGGTTTTGTACACAGTATTGTAAGTTCATAGCATTACCTTCATAAATATGCAATGTAAGGCAAATTAAATCTCATCAAACGTTTGCGATTTTTTCAAAATGTCACCTCGAATCATTTTTTTAAAACTGCAATGGGGCAAGAGAGCACATAACTATGGGTCAAAAAGGCCATGCGTCTTAAATTGAGTGAAATCGATTAATGCTTGTTTATAAATTTTGGACAGAACTTTCTATGTTTATTTTCAAAATTATTGAAGGTGGTACTCTTGCCCCACCTGACCTACATTTAATCGAAAAGTGGTCTTGAGCAAAGTTGAAGCTGAGAAAATGTTATATATGAACAAAACATTTCTTTTCCCAAGTAGTAATTCAACTTCAAATGGTTTGTGCAGTCAGTTTTTAATTAAATGAGTTTAAAATTCGGGAGAATGATCAGTACCCGATTTTGAACCGTTTATGCACCGCACTGTGGAGGGAAAATTCAAATTTTGCATCACTTTAATAATCATTCATCACTGAAACTCTGCTGGTTCGGATAAAAATACAAAACAATAAAAGATGATTATTAGGTTGGTTAGAAGCGAGTAGATGGATTTGTATCTAAATTTTAACAGTTTTACTAATCGCAGGTGAAGAACGGACATTTTGACAGGGATATACAATTTGACTATTAGTGGGCAAACGGCTTTATTGAGGCGCATACAATAGTTTTGGATTTTACAAATAAGAACAACCACGCAGTTACAAAATGGTAGACTATCGTATTTCCCTCAAAATGTGCTGAAACTGTGGGATACCGTCTAAAATAAGTTGGTTACATAATATGTGGATGTACTTGGAATAAGTTACGCTCACAGTTGAAAGACTTATTTTCTAGGAGACTTAAGGTTTGTTTTGTATAGTAAGAGATTAAATTAAAGAAATAAAGGTGTTTACCGTTCGGGGCCTGTACAATCGCCTACATTCACTTGGGCTTGATACTGCTCATGGGATCGAGTGTTCGACGACAATTGGAGTGTCGATGTGGTGTTTTTCATATGGGGCACCGTGGGAGAATTGTATTCCCAGAAACGACGATTGAGCCAGGGTGGAGTCGATAGTCCAAGCGGGTCAGAGTCACGCACATAAGTACACGGGTTTATGGTTCATCGATGGTACGTGTGTTTTTGTTATGGGGTTTTTGGAACACACATTTGATTGGAGATTGGTCGAGATAATCCAAAGGGAAACGATGGGTAATTCAGTACATTTGCATAAAGTGCAAACAATTATTATAACCAGATTATTCATTGGCACAGCAAGACAGGAACGGTTGCGTAGATTGGGATCGAACGCAAGTGCAGGCATTTGGGTGGTGTGTGAATTATTAGTTTTATTCCCGGTTGACCAATTTGTTGTGGGAGTTGTGTTCCAAAATCCAAGCAGGTGGAAATATCGCAGACGAAATCAGTTGCAGGAATCGAAATCGGATCGAACCAGGGTTGGTGTATGGAGATTTCGTTTGGTCAGCGGCATACATGTGTTAAAAAAGTTGAAGGTTACCCAAGAGATGGTTGTCGTTACCGACATCAGGATCAGCGTACAGAGTTTGGACCAAACCCGCAAGTCGTAGAAGTGGCGATTTTTTATTTTTGGATTAACAGTGGTAACGGGTCATTTCAAATATTTGGTGGTTCGTAGTGTAGATGAAGGTGAGTTGATTGCATCATTTTCAATATTAACAACCGAGACGGGGAAAAGAAGAAAAAACATACGTTAAGTTTCAGTCGGGATGGAAGTGTAGCTTTTGTACGTAGAACTAATCTTTTTTTAAATTTAATTTAACTTTTGGCAAAAACAAAACTTTGAAACGTATCATGGGTACGCGAACAATGGACTCGATCTACAAAAGGTACCGGAGAGGGAGGGATATCATCAACAACTTGGTTTTGTTTCTATTTTTGACGATACAGAAATGGAATTAAAGAACGGAAACGACACGACTCAATAGGAAACAAAATTGAGATAGATATAACTAACTTAGATAATGAAAGTGTTCTTCAAATGTTATGAAATTTAGTATTAATACAAGTCCTCTAAAGCGTATTAAATTAAATTTAAAAACAAAAAAAAAGTATCCTGGATAAAAAATACTCGCTAGGAAGCATACCTCTGAACGCAGCTTTTGGATGTTATGTCCACCTTTTCCAATAATAGCTCCAGCCATCTTGAATTAATGGGGATTATGTGATTAATACGAAATATATGATGAATGTAACCTGATTTGGCTACGGATGTGTTGGACATTGAAAATGTACAAATCACGAAACGAATCCCATACCTTGCTAGGAATCAATAGACGAACTTCCTCTTCATCTTTGCGCGAACGCTTCATTGCTGGCTTGTTGTCAGATGTATCGTCATCATCGTTATTATCTTGGTGCTGATCACTATCCTGGTTTTCGTCGTTTTCCCGCTTCATTTTCAATCTATATAAAAAAAATAGAAACAATACTGATTATTACTCACAAAACAACTAGGTGGAGCCTGGAGATCAAAGATGACGTATTTGTTTTTTTTTTTGCTACATCTACTTCATATTTTTGAACACTTTTAACTTCGAGAAGTGATATACTGGATGTTTGGGTTGCATCAGTGGAAAATTATGGAAGTAGTGGAACAAAACCAGAGAATAATAGCAAACAATGATGCATGCAATAATGCAGTGGCGTATCGTAACCTCGCTTTTTACCTGTGCACCAACTTTCAAAACCAGATTTAATGACATATTCATACTCGAATCGGTTGAAAAATACACTTAATCTTCTAGTTTACTCGATATCTTTCCATTGCAAGCAATATTTTGATGATTGTTTATTTTAATGCCAAAATATTCGGATGACGGTTTGAAATCATTTTCATTTTCAAGCACAGAAGGGGATCATAGGGCCAGGTCTCCAGTGAAACATCACATAACAGGGATCAAGTGAATCCTGCTTAAGATGCCGGATAGGGAAGAATAGTGTTTCAGGTAGGGGATAGTCGGAGTAACAGTAGTAATAAAGGGTGTCCACGATGAAATTGCCACACTATGAAATTGCTCTAACTTTTTAACCGTTGGGTAGAATTAAATGAAAATTTGGGTGGATTTAGTTCATAGTGCATTATTTACATCCTGCAAGTTTTAAAGTCCTGTGATCAAAACTCGCGGAAATGGAGTCGAAAGAACAGCTCGTGCGTGATAAAATCTTGCGCATTCATTACGAGAACAAGGATCTCTCGCATCGTTCCATCGCTAAAACGTTGGGAATCGCGAATTCCACGGTGTCGCGAGTGATTAAGCGGTTCGAGGAACGGTTGACCACCGATCGGAAGCCCAGAAGTGAAGGAAAAAGTATTCCGTACAACACCAAAAATCACAACCGCGTAGTTGGGGCCTTCAACCGAAATCCGAACGCCTCCGTTAGGGATGTGGCAAAGAAGCTGCACCTAAGCCGAAGTTTTGTCCAGAAGGCCAAAACTAAGGCTGGGCTTCGAACGTTCAAGGTACAAAAGGCCCCTAATCGCGACGAGAAGCAGAACAAGTCCGCCAAAACCCGTGCCAGGAAGTTGTACCTCAACATGCTGACGAAAGTTGAATGCTGCATCATGGACGACGAAACATATGTGAAGGCCGACTTCAAACAGATCCCCGGCAACCTGTTTTTCACGGCCAAGGATAAGTTCAGCGTTCCGGAGCATGTCCGCACTCAGAAGATGTAGAAATTTGCGAAGAAATTCCTGGTTTGGCAAGCCATCTGCACGTGCGAGAAGCGGAGTGCACCTTTCGTGACCCAGGACACGATGAACGAACAGGTGTACATAAAAGAGTGCCTCCAGAAGCGGCTGCTTCCTCTCCTGAAGGCCCACAACGTCCCAACAATCTTCTGGCCGGATTTGGCCTCATGCCACTACTCCAAGGACGTGCTGAAGTGGTATGCGGACAATAAGGTCAATTTCGTGCCGAAAATGTTCAACCCTCCCAACACTCCGGAGCTCCGCCCCATCGAGAAGTACTGGGCGATTATGAAGCAGCACCTTCTTAAACGACCTAAGGTAGTGAAGACAGTCGAGGAACTGAAGAAAGTATGGGTTTACATGCAAAAAACGGTTGATTCACAGGTTGTGCAGAATCTTATGGCCGGGGTTAAGGCCAAGGTGCGGGCATTTGCGTATGGACTGTAAATAAAATACGAGTAAAATGGTAAAATGAAGTTTAATAGTTATTTCTCAATCCCTGAAAATTTGATGGCAATCGGATGAAAACTCGAATTTTGCGAATCAATTTTGTGTGTGGCAATTTCATCGTGGACACCCTTTAGTAAAAGTTGGAAAATAAACGTACAGAGAGCCATGTTTTGCAATACCTGTAAATATTGTTTCATTAAATCTGGAAGACCTATCAAATTACCGAAGGTAATTAAATTAAAATGAGGGAGCGTTATGTTAGTTATGATCCGTATTTAGCCCTGTTGACCATTGTAGCACTATTTGCTGGCAATTGTTGTTAGATCGTGTGACACTGCTACTACTACTATGTTAGATCGAAGACAACAAATCAAGAAGACTGGCAACTTTGCCAGAATCCAAGCGACAGATACAATGGCGCTGCGCTTGAGTGAAGGTGGAAGCAAAGCATAGAAAAATGAGCAAATACACAAACCCTTCTTCTAAGGATGTAATCTTTGCTATCAAATTCGTTCGAAGCATTTACCTTTGAGCGGCAGATGACGCGATTGTACCTGTCTCATACGAAGAGTTGCCAGTCTTCTTGATTTGTTGTCTTCGGTTAGATGTATGACATGTCAAGTTTTATTAGAGCAGAATACTGTTTTAAAACACAACGCAATGTTTTAATGAAGGAAATTATTAAATTAGGATATTGCTTTCCTGTAAATTTCATGAATTGATTTTCGAAAATTTGCTCAAAAGGATTTGGTTTACATATCCTACCTTACCGAAAACATGCTAAAGCACAATTCATAATTCTCACCTCAAATATATCAACATATTTAACACGTCCTTCCCAAAACCTGACTTATTCGTAAATGCATGATCGAATATCACTTTCACTATTGACATTACCTGTAATTAACAAATATACCGAATAGGAAGATTTATGCTACTACTTTAAAAGCTAGTTGTCTCTCTAAGCGGACTCCCCGCATCCTAACTCTTGTGTTAATCTACTTAAGGTGTTTCCTTCTAGAGTCCATTTTTTCATCATACCTCGTAATTTCAAGAGCACACAACTCAAGATCTACGATGTTTATACATCTGCAAATTTCAGACATTGCTTGCTTCTCCGCAGCAAACAACAAGTAGTAGCTACGTGTATTCACGGAAACCTTATTATTATTACATGTGAAATTGCGAGGTGTAACACGAAAAAGGACGCTACAGGGAATCACCTTAATGTTATTAAACTGTTTGAATTTTCTTATTTATGTTCATTTGATCATTATGATATCTCATTAGTCTAATTAAATAAATGATTGAAATCTTTAATCTACCAAATCAATGCATGTAGTCTAAATTTAACGTGTTTCATATTTTTGCTATTATTTTGAACAATTTTACCAAGTTTCTCACTTTCCAACAGGTGCTTCCAAAAATTTGGTATTTTGCAATCGTAAAATTTAAGATATTTGTAGTTCTGTGGCGAACGTTTCAGCTCAATTGATCATAAGTTAACAAAGTTACATCCTGTCAAAGTTGACCATTTTGTATGGAAATTGGCATGCGCTGCTATTATGTTGAACACAGGTGTATAAGATTAGTTACAATAACATGTACAAAAATGGTGTTTAACATTGTTCCTTGAGTAATACTTCAATGAAAGCTTGTCACGCAAATAGAAGAAGCGTGAAGTGTCCAACAGCACCTACTGAAATATTTCAATAATATAATTCCCTTGCAAACCCAAATAAGCTTATCTGTGTAAAAATAAATAAAATAAGAGTGATTTGCGGCCAAACCCGCCAGTATCACACCCAACGTCAGTGCCTATACGTAAGCGTACTACAACGCGGCTCTCAAACAAAGGAGTAACAAGTGTGATACTATCACTGCCAGACTAGATCTTTGGTTCTCTCATGCAGTGTTTTATCAGAGAGGGGAAGTTTAGTAATCCCCATCGCCTACCCATGGCGCCATTCTATTGCGGCATGAGCCAGCACCGCCAGCCATAAACCTACCGTCCTCAACACTTTACTAGAAAGCATGAAATTAAGGCCGCCCACCAGCAAGATGCAAAAACTAGCCAAGGGGGAGAGGCAAAATATTCGGATGACGGTTTGAAATCGGCCACTAAACCGACGGAAACTGGAACAAAATTAACGATGCCAATCATGTCATATATATTATATACATATATCATATATTATATGCTGGTGCCAGTGCTTTAAGTTAGCTGAATAAATTTGGTGAGATCATTCTTAAATCAACTGTAGGCTTATATAATAATTGAAACTGTTTAAAATAAATACATAGCAGGTTCAAAACACTTTTTGAACCTGGAAGTGTGTGTACACAATCTTTATCAATTTAATAAGGATAGTGCACACATGCGGAACTTAGGCTGGTGCAAATATTATTTTCAATTTATGCCTAGCATCACTCAAATAGGTTGATGGGGGCGGGGGGTGGTGGCAAAAAAATTACGATGGACGACAAAAAAAAGTTAATAAATTAGTAATAATAAAACAGATGTGTAGTTTTAGGAAAAAGCGCTGATTTTTTATATTAACGAGAAAAAAGCTTCAAAAGCTTGACCTGCAGTGTAGTTTAGATGTACTGTTTACCTGTTTATACCAACAAGTAGAGTAAGGTGCGACAAAAGTTCGACCTAGGTTGAAAAAAATAAATAAAATTTCTCAAAACTCCAATCATTTGGATGCACTTCTCACAATGTCAGCGCTAGCTGGCGTTACTAGATCGCTGCTCATCTTTCCATTTATGCTGCAGCTTCGACAGAATTAGCATGACTGTCCTGCAAACAGCATTCCAGGTGCCCTCTTCTTGACACATTTAATCATTGACATAATCCGCGTTAAGGACAGGCATCTCCCTTAGCACTGCCTCAAATCTATGACAGTTGAAGACCACGATGTTTCTTCAATATTTCCACATTCTAGACAGAGGGGTGACCTTGAACCGAGATGTACAGTGGTGGTCTTTTTAAATTAGCACAATAGGCCGATTTTCATACAAACTAGTCAATTTTGGCATGTTGCAACTATGTTTTGTTATGATCAATTGAGCTGAAATTTTGACACAGAAATATGCTGAATTTTGTGTGTACGTAATATCAAATGATTGGAAGCGCTTGCCGGAAATTCACGGGCTGGTTGAAAATGGCCAAATAATTAACACATTTATGATTCAAAATTTCCAATCGAAACGCTATTGAAAATTTGTTTACTATTTAAATGTATGCTCAGAATATTCT